CCAGAATTTACACTCTTAAATGCATTAACACAATACCCAGAATTTGTGGGAAACATTTAATGCTGGCAGTGAGCTTTCTGTCCAATACATTTACATTAAATACTTGGAAGACGGGAGCTGTGGTTAACGTAGACACCAGTCTAAGCCTTTGGCACAGCACTGTTTTACATTTCTAATGTATGGTAGGGAGTCACTGGTGAAGATACTTGTACAGTAACAGCTGTCTTTTTGTTTCAGCTGTTTTAGAAGTACTCCTTCATTTGTTCTCTGGACAGATGATCAAACAAACTCTTGATACTGATTGGCTGCCACCTTGTGTGTGTGTATGATGAAGTACCTGTGAGTGCCTTTGTGTGTGTGGTCAGATTATGGGGTCGTGTCATACACACTTTCTTTTAGATTTGCACCTTTATATATAGTTATTTTAAGACCTGATAACATTTGACCAGCTCCTTATAGAGACAGACTCTCAGAGTCCTGTGTTAGCTGCAGTCTGGCCTGAGGTCAGAGCAGATGGTGTGTCTGGTTTCACCTTGCTGCTGACTGACCGCTGGTCCCAGTGCAATCCAGAGGCCGAGCACAGCAGCCACCAAACAGATGGAGATGTGAGAGTTTAAAATAATAAAAAAAACAACAACCTGAATCTGAGTGAGGAGGAAAACATACATGTTTACGCCAGTGTGTGTATTTGTGTGTGTGTGTGGAGTTCAAAGCAAAGTAAATTACATTTACGTTGTAACGCTTGCATCATTATTCCTCTTTATAAGCAAGCACCCAGAAGCAGCTGTGCACTGTCTGAATCCCTCATAAATTATTAACAAAAAACGTTTTTATTGTTTTATCCACTGTAACTAATAAGACCAATAATTATCAGTCAGCACTTTAATCAAAATAAAAAAGGAACATTTGATCACAGACTTTCATTCCTGAAACCAAAAACAATAATAAGTGTAATTTATGAAAATAAAAACAAATCCAAGAGAATATAATAATTATTTTATACCATACAGTAGCAGTGATACAGCTCTGCTGTGTGGTGTGACAGTGTTAATTTATATAATATTTAATATTTCTAAATTCAAATTGAATCCAATAATAACACTGGAAATGACAAATCAGTATTTTACAAATAAAATAACAGTTTGTGCTAAAATGTATAAACTGAGGTTTTCTTTATCAGTTGTATTGGAAACAGGAAAATGTGCTTCAAATAATCAGAATAAAAAGAACTTCCAGATACTTCCATGTTCTTAGATAAAATTGACTCTGTGGACCTTAAATTATTTTATTTCTTCCCCCAATTTTTTTTACATGATTTTTTAATTGTCTATCAATCATAAATTTTGTTTAACTGTTTTGACTCTCAGCTCCACAAATAGTTGATATTTGCTTTAGTGGCTTTGAGGAACCAGATGATTGGCTTCTGATTAGAAGTGTCACGGTTATCATCTGTGAGAGTGTGAAGTTTCCTGTGCATCATGTGACCTCACCTTATTTCCTCCAGCAATGGGTGCTGCCTACCATGAAGAGAAGAGAATGAAGTGGTTTGAGGGCCGCTTCAGGCGTTTATTCAAATGTCTCCTTCTTTAATTGAGCTTCAATAACGCAGACGTTGATGCGTCAGACGGACTCTTAATGAAGGCTTAGAGGCCAGCAGAGCAGTCCCTGCGTTGAATAATAACACAAATGTTAGACTGAATCAGACATAAACCTGTGTGAACAAACATCAGCCCAGGCTGACGTGCTCAGGACAACGCTACTTCAGCGGCTAATGCTAGTAATAAAAATGTCCCTACAACAGCAAAGGTTGTCACTGATGAACTGCTGCTTTTATCAGTGAGTTCAGATGATTTTTTGTGTGTACTGTTTAAATTGAACTCAGTTACACAATATAACAACACAAGGCAGTGGTAAACTGGTTGTTTTTCACTTTGGACTTGGTGAAAACATCTGTTTCCTGTCTGTAAGTTAAAACGTTGAAGCTTTTCTTGTTGTTTTAATATCTAACATGCATATTTCCAGTTGCCTCTTCTAACAGTTACGTTACCAGTCTTTCAGACTTTTTCCAGCAGTAGGTGGCGCTCATATGATAGTCAGTACCATGTCAAAGCCTCTTTCAATGCCATGTTAAAATATAAATGATCTCTTTAACGTCTTCACTTGTCATTTTTGTCTAGAACTAACATGAGGCCGCTGGCTGTTCGCCACCTCCCAGAATTCATAGTGCCGGTAGAGCTGGATGTCAGAGAGCAAGCAAACGAAAAGCAGGGAGAAAAAACAACGTCTGTCTGTGTGCGCGCATGTGTGTGTGTGTGTGTGTGTGTGTTTTAGTGCCTCATCAAATATTTAGTCTGATTGTACATGCTCCTGTAATTGCCATCTCTGCTCGTGAATTATTGATGATGTGCGCACAGACACACACACACACATACACACACATGGTTAGCTTCAGATCATCATCTAAATTCCTCAGTAATTATTTGAAGACACTTCAGAGTCAATATTAGACTGTAGTGACCTAATGAGGCTGGAGCCACATTCGCTCCGTCCTTTTATTCTTTCACCTTTTTCTTCTACTTGCTTCATCTCCTCCTTCTGTATTTTTCTGTTTTTCTGTCTTTTTTTTTTGCTCTATTACTTTCCACTGTCCTGCACATCTCTCTTCTTCCTCTTTCTCATTTTATTTTTCTCCCTTGTTTTTCTTTTTGTCATATCCTCAAATCTTGTTTTCTTTCTTTCTTTCTGCATTTTGTGTTCTGGAACAGATGAGATGTGACTGTGGTGTAAGCAGTGTTAGCGTTGTTAGCGTGTTAACCAGGACGACGGCCTGGGCTCGCCACGCTTGCTTTGTGTTCTATTTCAGTTTCAGGCGTGCTGGCCTAGACTCGCCAGGCGGTCAGGTGGTAAACTGGCAGCGGCGGGAGGCACAGCATCTTCTCATAGAGAGAGAGAGAGAGAGCAAGAATCAAAGTGTGAGCGCGAGCAACAGCGGCCGTGGCGAGGCAGCATTTAAAAATACTCCT